CCTCGGCGAGCTGCCCGAGCGATGTGTGCGTAACACACATAGAGAGATGCACGAAACGCACGCTTGTATGTGTGTGCGCACAAGCACAACGTGAATAGAGGACCGACTGTTTGCCTTTATGTCCGAACATCGAGAGAGAGAGAGGGAGAGACAGGGCGTGAGAAGGCTAAATCGCAGTTCACACACACCCACGCGCGTACACGTACTCTACTGCTGCAGCGAAGCTGCACATAGCTTCGTGCGGATATAGCTCGAGATCTTATCGTCGCTCGCTCGATATAGCCCCCTACCCGCTCGCTGCAGCTCCACTCGAAATGCGTTATATTTGCAGCCACCCGACTGCTGCTGCTGCACTTAAATATTATACGCACAGCCGGACCGAGCTGCTTATTATTGACGTTTTCGTCCGATGATAAATTTTATACGGTGAGTTCGTACGCGAAGCCCGAAAAAAAGAAGCTCTTAGAAATTGACGTGCGTAGCTCGCGTCTTTATATTTCGAGCTTGTTCAGGCGGATATAAATTATAATACGACAGTACATTCTCACGCGTTTTTTTATAAGTGAACCTTCTTACAATTAGTTGGGTAAAACAAAAACATTTCTCAGATACATAAAAACAGTTCAACCATATCGAATTTTCTATCAGTGTACGTATTATTAATTTTCCCTGCTATTAAGGTCACACGCGCGCGCGTCGGAATTTCCACGTGGCTCGAGTCTCGCGCGCTATATCTACGTGCCCCACAAGTTTGTGTATGTGTGTATATGCTTGGCTAAAGCTTTCAAAGCTACTTTTCTTGTCTGCGTATTTCCACGTCTTTTATATTTCTCAAAATTTAACATTCCTCATGCCGCTGCTACAAGTGAGTTTGTGTGACGTCGTTCTCTCTCATACTCAGCTCTCCTATATATGGCTCCTGGAGCAAGTCGAATCAGTACTTCGTCCCAAAGTCTAAGGGTTACACGAGAGAGAGAAGAGGAGACGCTGTACACGAGGCTCGTACAAGTCGATCTGCGGAATTTACATGTCGGCAACTCTTGCAAGTAGTACGTACGCATGTTATCGCGTTCGGTGTGCGCCTGCATATATAATGGTGTGGCTTTATATAGATGTGTGCGTATAGTCCGTGTGCGTGTTTAGGTGTGCTCGCATACACATTCGTAAAAGGATCGAGCGTGCGTATATATCTGTAGAGCAAACCTGCAACGTTATCGTGTCGGTCGGTCCAATTGCACATGCACGCGTCGCCCTGTCCTATATATGTGTGTATACGCGAGCACATCGTGTTTACAAATTGTACCTCGTACGGATTCCCATTTCAAATAATACAAATCTCATTTCCGTCCTCGTCGAGACGGGGATTCGTCGCGTGATTCAATTTTTTTATGGTACGCGCCACTTTGAAAATAAGCGTCACCTTGAGAGAAAATTCAACGAAATGTTCCACAAAAATTTTCAGTTTGTTGTTTACGAGGAGTTGAAATTTTTTTTGGGATTCGGTGCATTCGAAAATGTCTCCCCTTACATTAGTTTATTCTAGTATAGGCTTTGGAAAGTCTAAATAAAATAAAGCGCATGAAATGTTTATTCTTGATCTAAAAACTATTTGGGTCAGAGCTGGACCTTGAAAAAAATAAATGCTATTGTTTAGCAATATTGATAAATTATAACATTATGAAACGTTTAATTTTATATGTCTATGACAACGAATGCGTCGAAAAACTGTTACCCCAATGCGAGCATACAAGGTCCTATTAAATTACAATATCAAAACATCATTCTCTAAAAAAATTTAACCATTAAAACAAGTGGAAATATGTACTTTGCGTATAGAATTTTTTACGGTCTTCAATCCGTTTATATTGAATGCTTATATTGAAACAAGCAGTTACTCTTACAAACCGATGAATTTTATGTAAAATATAAAAGATTCAATACTAAAATTAATTATATAGCACTAATATTCAAATGCAAGTAAATATACTGCATATTTATTTAACCAATATGTGAAGTTTGAAGTAAATACTTAAAAGTACTGCAGCTATTCTATGAAAATTAATTACAAGAGTGGCAGGAGTGTTGAAAGTTCCACAGGCGCGCCCCAGTTCATAAAGTAGCGCTAGGTGGCGTATATCTGAATTTTAGGTAACCGAAAGGGAAATAGAAAATTCCAGCATTAAGTAAGAACAATTTTCCAACTAAGATAGTGAAGTTTTTTAATGCGCATCGACAAAAGTAGGGCTTCAGGGGCCTTTTCTTTTTTAGAAATATTTTGGCACTTTTGCTCTTTCAATATTTTTGAATTTTATTTTTTTTATCACGAGAAATCACGTGAATTATAATAGCGATTGCCATAGCCATTGCACGCTGTCAGAGCAGGGCTATGTTAAAACTTTCTTTAGCATATGTCGGGCGCATAACCGCTGCTTATAATGTGCTTTTTACGAGAAAAGTTTGCCTCTCGAAAGCTGGCCGTGTATACGGGTAAATATTCCGAGCTTATTTCTTTTTTATATCAGCTCCACGTCCCACGCTGGCCCTTATAGTCGCGCACAGATTTTCACGTATACACTACTTAATGACGTATCGGACGTCTTATTTCTCGAGTTATGATAATCAGCTGGTGCCTTTGCAAACGCGACAAATGCATATATTTCTTTCCAACGACGCAAATCGAGCTCATTGAATGTCTTTGAAGATAAGCACGATATATACAAAAGTAATAATTACGCCGTGGCTTTTCTCAAAGTAAACACACACACGAAAAAGCCAAATGAAAAATATTCTATTCATACATTCAGTTACAATATTATACACTCGGGGTCTGTAACATTTTCTTTTTCTTTTCTCCTCTTTTTTTTTGCCGGATAATTTTTACTTTTACGTCACCGCGATTTTCCGACGTTGTCGTCGTCGCCGCGCGTTTGTGTGCAGCTTTTCTCTATTCCATGACCCATAATTTTCTTTGAAGTTGTTTATACAGTTTTATACACATACGACACATGGTCGTACGAGTTTCTATTTTTTTCTTTCTTTTTTAAAATTTTTTTTTCGTATATTTTGTCTTTTTCACTTATGCGCCAAAAGACGAAGGATGTTGCGCGCACGCGTCTCTCTTTCTCTGTGCACTTTTTTATTTGATACATTTATCTCGGCGAATAAGACGACGTCTTTGGCTTCGCGTTTTACGCTCGCCTTACTCTCAAGTTTTGTTCTTTTGATTTTTAAGCAGCTAGTTTTTCCTTCGTCTTCTTCTACTTCTTCTTTTTTTTAAACGCGAAATTAGTAGCCCAAATTAAGATGTAAGATCACTCCGAGCGAAGGTGTATAGCTGAGATACTTATTTTAACATTTTTTTTTCGCAAATGGATGAAGAATTATGTCACGCTAAAGAGGATACACGGTTTTTTTGTTCATTAGCGCGCCGCTGTAAAGCCAACAATAAATATAATCTATCTTAATTGTATTTTAATAATTAATCCACGCAACTATATTTTACGAGGAATTAAAAGTAAAAACCTGGAGCTCGTGCGCGTACATTCATCGCGCTCGAAATAACACACATCATCTCGCGCAGACAGTACAGGAGTATAATAATTCGAGCCGCGCGCCGACTGATGAACTATCGACAGGTATCACGATGTAATCACACGCGAATGGATTATTAATATCCGCGCGCGTAATACCATTCGGCGGGTGCATGCCCCGAAGCGTTACACGCTGTACTGCTGCTCGCGTTGCAGCGGCTCACGATATATACATCGTATGGGTATGATCGAATTGGAAGTATACCAACGCGCCGCGGCGAGAAGATGATATCGCGAGAGGATTAAAAGAGGATTACATTGCCAATGCGTTTCCTCGAAAACACAAGCAGACGTGTAATTCGTATATACGTTGTACGTGTTTAGAGGGCCGAAATCAACGCGTTTACAGTTTCGTATTGTACACGTATATGTTTGCGTTTTATTTGCATCTAATGCAACAAAATGCGATGCAGTCGAAATCCTGTAGTAGGCGATACGGTATAGGCCGCGCGAATATTCATATAATCCGTAATATCTCGGTGCACATATAGGTATACACACTTTGTTTGAACGAGGTCATGAGCAGATAATATAATAAATACCCGAAGCTGCGATGGAAAATTTAATATCCTCTGCCACTCGACTATACACATAAACAAACACGCGGTGCAGATTCGTTCTAGCAGCGCTTTTTTATTTTTATTCCCTCGTGCTAGCCGGGGTTAGCTATAAGCAACAAAAAAAAATTTTAATATTTTTTCGTGTAATTTTTTTAATTAAGGCGAGTTGTTATTGTTTTATTTTTCTTTTCTTTCGAGCCTCGATGGACGATAAAACAATTATTAATTAATGAAATCCGAGGCCTCGAATAGATTATGAAAAGATTTCTTTCATCTTGCAGGCAACAGTGGATACGATGAATTTCGCTCTTCAATTTTTCCTCGCACTGTCAAAGGAAGCGTAAAAATCGTTATATACAGCGTATAACACACACACAATGGGAATATAGGAAAGAGAGAGATAAGATGTCGCACGACGGCAGAGGCGTTGCAAGTTATAATAATACACACCCACGGCATTGCTTTCACTGTATGAGATGTCTCGCCCCATTATGTCAGATTCGCGAGCACGAGTCTGTGCAATAGCAGCAGCAGCAGCAGCAGCAGCAGCAGCTCGAGGTGTATTTGCCACACAATATATAATAATGCCACACAGTATCTGTCTGTGTGTATGTAGAGGGATGCGGAGGTTATACATACAAAGACCAACAGGCAGCAAACAGCGCGCGTTATATACACAAGTTGGAATTATTACACACAAGTTTGTTGTACACGCCAAGTGTATATGCCACTATATGTATGCGCGGGTGTGTATAATATGAAAGGCTATATGACGACTGCTGCGAGTTGCGTCGCTTCCACTACACATAATAATAATAATAATGATACAGAGGAAGAGATGACTACTTACCTCAAAGCTAAGAATGCCGCTGTTGTCGTGATCCAGAGTGTTGAAGACATAATGTGCGTATTGGCTCGTGTTGGCTGAAAGACATAAGCGAGAAGATGCGATTTTATTATTAATAAATTTTTTGCTCTCGATTTCAAAGAAAAACTATAAAATAGAATAAAAAATTAAACATTATAGTGACGAGCTGAAGTATACGTACTCTCGAACGAATATTTTTCTAAAAAAATTAATTTCCTAACTTTCGGTCAGGTCGGAGAAAAATGTAATTAAGCGCGATCGCGATAAAACTGCACTCTTATTTTCCTTCGCTATATGCACACACAGCTGGGGCGCATGGCCGCGAAATTTTTTAATCTCGTCGTGGCTTTAAAAAGACTAGCAGCTCGAACGAACTATATCGTCTTGAAAGATAAAGCAGTACGAGTAGTAGATATATTAAATAATATCATTTACAAGACCATATTCGTCAAGCAACAAAAAAAATTAAGAAACTGTCCGGAAACGAGTACGAGCGTTAATCACTTCCGGCTGAAAAGGACCATGTGTCGCCGACTTGGCTATTCGTAAGCATGAGTATCCTGTAAATCACGAACAACTTTTTTACTCGAGAAATTACCTAACTATTAACTCTCCCTCGCACATTGCCTGCGAGTGTTCTCGTAGACACTGCGTATGTACATTATTAAGTACGCTCGGGTGTATATAAAAGCTCTCGAGACTCGAAATAGAGATGAAAAAAAAAAAGGGAGAGAACGTCCCGAAGGGGGCTAAAAATGATTATATCAACTAGTGCAGGGTGCGCGCGTCAAAAAAAAAGAAGACAAAGAGCTAATTAGGATTTTTTAATTGGAACATCGCGGCGTGGACCTAGCCGCCACTAGATTTATTTTATTGCCGGCTGCTTATTTTTTATCTGTGCTGCGGTGTTTGATATATAGCGCGCGGATGCCATAAGGTGTACCATACAAGAGCGGCTAGATTTTTATGTTCTCGCGTGATAGAAAAAAAATATTTTGCGAACATTTTTTTCCGATCGAAAAAAGGAATCTATGGTGCATAGAAAAGCAAAATAAAATAAACGGAGGAAAAAAGAAAAATCAAGTTTGGAAGTACATGGAAAATAGTTTTGATTTTTCCAACCAAAGAATGCAATATTTCGACCGGCGTTGAAAATATTTGCATTCGCCGGTGAACGCGCTATATAGACGTGCATTCGGGTGCATGAGAGTAAAACGAATAGATCGATGTTATACGTCTGTACCCCCGTGTACACTGAAAAGTACTCTGAAATTTTACTTCTGGTGTTTTCATATAGTTAAATGGATTTTAGATAATCTAAAAACCAGAAGTAAAACTTCAGAGAAAAAAACGTAAATTTTCTAATGATCAAATTTTTCTGAGTCGACTAAAAATTATCCGCGATTCACGGTATGATATTGATAAAATAAAGCATTATGAAACGTTTAATTTTATATGTTTATGAGAACGAATGCGTAGAAAAATTGTTATCCCAATGCGAGCCCATAAGGTCCTATAAATTACAATATCAAAACATCATTCTCTAAAAAAATTTAACCATTAAAACAAATGGAAAAGTGTACTGTGCGTATAGAATTTTTTACGGTCTTCAAACTGTTTATATCAAATGCTTATATTAAAACAACAGTTACTCTTACAAACCGATGAATTTTATGTTAAATATAACATATCCAATGCTACAATTAATTAAATAGCACTAATATTCGAATTAAAGTAAATATACTTCATATTTACTTTACCAATATGTGAGTTTTGAAGTAAAGACTTAAAAGTACTGCTGTTATTCTATAAAAATTAATTACAAGAGTGGCAGGAGTGTTGAAAGTTCCACGGGCGAGCAGCAGTTCATAAAGTAGCGCTAGGTGGCGTATACCTGAATTTTAGGTAACCGAAAGAGAAATAGGAAAATTCTAGCATTAAGTAAGAAAATTTCTTTAACAAAGATAATTAACTATCGGTGCCAAAAATAAGGTAAATTGTTTATTCCAAAAGAACGAGAAAAGAAAAAACTCCTCTTTTACTATGAACGGCTAAAACAGTTTAAATTTTCTAGTGATCAAATTTTTCTGAGTCGAATAAAAATCATCCGTGATTCGCGGTACACCCCATAATATAGAGAATACCATAAACTCTCGTCTTGAGCTCAAGCGACACAATAAGACAGAAAATTGAAATTGAATTAAATCATAAAATTAACTACTCTCTTCGGTTCTTTTCGCTCCTCTCTATTCTCTCTCTCTCTCTCTCTCTCTCTTTCTTCTTTTATACAAAGTACCTGAACATAACGCGAAGAGACCACTCTTGTAATGGAGCTCCTTATGTATATCTATATACCTTATACTTACTCGCGCGGGTGCCGTACCGATATAGCGATTAGGTTTTAGAGAGTATAGAGAGAGAGAGCTCGCGGAAGAGAATTTCAGCAAACGTCGGCAGCAGGCTATTGGAGACTATTACGCGGGGGTGGCTGAGCTCTGTGTGTGAGCATGAGATATATAAATGCTGCGCATTTTCTCTATACAGTGGTCGCCGCTTAAGAGAATCACTGTGTGACAAAAATTTTCATTCTATTAAGCGGATGATTCTACTATCCGATAGGGATTGCAATAACTTATAAATAACTTTGAATCCGAGAAATTATGCATTATTATAATAAATAATTTATTATTATAAATGAATATATATATATATATAATTTATATAATAAATTATTTATTATTAAATATTTATTCAAATCATATGTGACACCATTATAATTTAGTAAAATAGTCATTTATCTTGGTTTGTTTTTTCTTTTGGTCAATTATTTTGAAAATAAATTTTTCAAATTTGTAGTACTCTTCAAAGGATTTCGAACGATGTTGAACTCCTCGTCTCAAGACTTGTAATGCGTTAAACATTTCTAGATTATTAGGTGCGGGTTCTATACTATCATCTTCCTCTTCAATTTCTGATTCATCTGTGTCCAATTTTTGGCATATGTCATCATCTGTTGGCTTTCCAGAGGTTTCTAGACATTCGTCAATATCTATCCACTCGTCAAAAACCTCATGTGTCATATCTTCCGGATAAATTTCGTTCAAGCTAACGTTGCTCGAAATATTACATATTTCATTAGTTCCGTTAACAAACCCAGCCTTTCTAAAACAATTTTTTATCGTTTCGCTAGATACATAAGACCAAGCTTCTTTGATCTGATGTAGCGCATCAAGCAGAGAGGTCTTCTTGGCAATGTCATTGGCTTTGACATTTTGTTGATTATCTAATATTTGTATAATCCGTTCCCTCATTGTTCTTCGATAGTACGCTTTTAATGTACGAATTATACCTTGATCGCAAGGCTGTATCAGAGACGTCGTGTTGGCAGGTAAATAAACCACTGTAATATTTTTCATAGGCTCTAAGTTTGAATGTGCACCGCAATTATCAATGGTTAATAAAATTTTGCGTTTTAATTGTCTATCCCAATTTCGTAGCCAATCAGAAAAAATGTCTCTTGTCATCCACGCGTTTCTGTTGGCCGTGTAAGCAATAGGCAATTGAGTCACATCTTTGAAGCATTGTGGATTCTTAAATTTTCCAATAACAAACAGGTCTTTTTTTTCACCTGCCATACTGGCACAGCATAACAACGTTATACGCTCCTTACTTGTTTTGAAGCCTTTCGTATTTTCTGATTTTAGAGCATATGTATGCTCTGGTAATGCTCGGTAGTATAAACCCGTTTCGTCAGCATTAAATATATCGCTTGGCGAATAATTTTTAGATATTTCTGGCCATTCTTGTATAAACCACTCATTTGCACTTGTAAAATCAGCTTCGGCTTGTTCACCATGTGGCTTGCGATACACAATATTTTCTCGGCCTCTCCAACGTGAGAGCCAACCGTCAGTGGCCTTGAAATTTTCTTTGCCTAATTTCTTTGACAAATCTTCAGCTTTTGCTTTAAGTAACGGGCCATTAATTGGAGCGCCTTTTTCTCTCACTTCCACAAACCATTTCTTCAACGTTTTTTCTACGTCTTCGTCTTTGCCGCATCGTTTTCTCTTGCGGCTGAGATTTTCGTGAGAGCAAGAGGTACTTTCTATCTCGTAACGATTTAATAATAATCTACTAAGAGTAGNTGCATCGTCTGCGACCTAACCTCAAACGTTGGCGGGACGGCAAAAACATTGTCTTTTCATTTACTGGTATCGCGCCATGCCAAGTCGCATTATCCCAGTAAATGAATACATTCATTCACTATCGACTCTATATGAATTTTTGTGAAAAAGTGAAGCTAGTTTAACTAAAACTGATCATAGTATTTCAAACTTCAAGCATCAATAAAATAAAAATAATTTTTTGACATGGGTTAAAATTTCCTTTCATATTTTAATTTTAATCTTTTCTTGGTCATTCATTCATTGGGGGTCATTCATTCATTGGTGCCGTCACCCTAACAAAAAATTACATTAGACCCGTCGTTGAACTTGTACTTGCGTATATATCTAAGGCGAGGCTATTATACACACGTCGGAATTCGCGCGAGACGCGTCACGCGACCGCATTATAGGATACACAACCACACGTGTGATGTACGCCGTACCAAGTCTGCAGTGCGCTGCATATAAGGTATGTATATGCCCTCCCTGTTGACCGAGATGATTTAATGCTACGTCGCGATCGAGTTGAAGGATTTGTATCAAGTTTTAGCGCGCGCGCGCCATAATATTGCTGAAATACCTTATAGGTTTGCCAAACCACGAGGTATTTCGCCTCATTATTATTTAAAATATCGCCGATAGATGCGTTATTACTAAACGTATACTATAGTGGTAGTGCTACCCACTAATCTCACCGATAAATCATCGAGAGTGACTACGATATTTCGAAAAAAATTTCGTCCAAAATCTCGTATGAATATTATTCACCCTTCCCCCCCATCTCGCTGCATGCACACGAGCTATGCTACTCTAGCAAAGGTGCACCATTAATCTTTCGTTGCATCATCACGCGTATGTACCGTGAAAAAAGAAACCTCGACAAATGCGAT